ATAATAAATCTATGAAAATTGGAAGTTGTCGAAAATGAAACAAAGCACATAAAGATCGATATCCCAAGTATTAGTGAGCTGCAGTGGACTGTAGGGCTGTCTTGAAGCAGACAGTCATATGACTTGCTGTGCTGGAAATGACAAATTCAAGAGGAATGCCATCACAGTCAGTGTTAAAAGGAACATTTCAAGATGCTGTCTGATAAGATAATATCCATACACCTACAAGGAAGATCAGTTAAATAAAGTTAGTATCGCTATTATTCAAATTTATGCACCAACCACTAAAGCCAGTGATGATGAAATTGAATAATTCTACCACATTTTCAGTCTGAAATTGATCAAACATGCAATCAATTGATAATTACTGGTGATTGAAATGCAAAAGTTGGAAGCAAAGAGGAAGGATCAATATAGTTGGAAAATATGATCTTAATGATAGAAATGATACATACAGGAGATATGTGATAGAATTTTACAAGACCAATTGCAAATACTTTTTTCAATGACCTAAGTGGCTATAATATATGTGGATTTCACCAGGTGAAATACACAGGAATTATATTGACTATATCTGTGGGAAGAGAAGGTGGAGAATTTAGCATCATCAGCCAAAACAAAGGCCAGAGGTGGACTTTAAAACAGATCATCGATTACTCATATGTAAGTTCAGACTAAAGCTGAAGAAAATGAAAGTAGTCCATAAGAACCAAAATATTACCTTGAATATAGCCCACCTGAATCTAGAGCTCATCTCTAGAACAGATTTGATGCACCGAAGACCAGAAAAAGTATGGGTTAACATCAGGAACATCATACATGAACAAAGCAAAAGGTCATTAAAAAGACAAGAAAGAAAGAGAAGACGAAAATGAATATCAGAGACTCTGAAACTTACTCTTGGATGTAGAGAAGCTAAAGTGACCAGAAGAAATGAGAAAGTCAGAGAGCTGAAGAGAAAATTGCAAAATTTGTCCAGAAACAAAGTCAAGAATTATACTGAATTACGGAAAACTGAGTAGTAGAAAATCAAAAGAGAAGAACATGCTGGGCGTTTCTCAAGCTGAAAGAACTGAAGAAAAAAACTAAGCCTCAAATTGCACTATTGAAGAAATCTATGGGCAAAAGAATGATACAGGAAGCAGCGAAAGAAGATGAAGGAATACACAAAGTCACTGTACCAAAAAGAGCTGGTTGATGCTCAGCCACTTCAAGGGGTGGCATGTGATCGGAACCGACTGAACAGCACTTAACAACAGTAGGTTACTTTTAGTCCTGGTACGGCGCAGTGGGATAAGCTCTGGATTGGATTCAAACCTACCAGCCACTCCTTGGAAATACTGTACAGGATCGCTGTGAGTTGGAACTGACTCCAAAGCACTTAACGGCAACAAAAACATAATTTAATTGGTGCTGTGGAAAGTACTGGATTGCTAACTCTACCAGGTTGCTGGTTCAAACCCACCAGCTGTTCTTTAGGAGAAAGATGAGGATTTCTACTTCTGTAAAACTATATAGTTTTGGAAGCCCTATATAGGGTCACTTTTAGAATCAACACACTGGTAGTAGGATATAGTTTATTTAAAAGATGTGCTGACTAATTTTCTCCAGTATTGGTTATATGATTACTTAAAATAGTTCCTGTGCCTTATGCTATCTTTCCATAGCTATATATCTGTGAAGAAAACAGAAGAGCTAATGAGTATGATTTCAAGAAAGCTTTGGACTTGCTGGAGTATATTGATGAGGTAAGAAAAATAGATCTCTGACAGCTATCACCGTATACTAGGCAGCTTCAAACAGGTCATGGAAAAATTCCATTTTTTAAATTCCATTTTTCCAAATCCCCCTGTATATGTATTTCTGCAACAGGCAGCAGCGGGGTTGGGGTAGGAGAGCTTGGTCAACACAGGACGACTCTTTTACCCTGTCTTGAAAATGTATTAAAGAAAAAAAGACTTTATCTCTAGTTCCTCTACCTTTAATTCTTTTTTTTCACAGTTGTATTTTACTCTCTTTTTTTTTTTTTTTAATGTGTTATTGTGAATTATGTGATCATTTACATGGGAGAACATTAGCTTTACATTCATCACATATCGTTTCATTGCCATGGTTACAACCCCCTCCATGCATCATCAACCAACCAAAGGCTATACCCTGTCAGCACACAGACCCTCTCCTTCTCTGGGTCTAGAGTCCCCAACTGCTCCAACTCTCCACATTATCGTCTCTGCCTCCATCTCTGGTGTCACTGCTTCTCTGGATAGGGCCCGCACTCTGCTCTTCTCCCTTGATGGTCTCTCAGGGACCTCTGTTCCTAGATTGCAAAGTCAACCACTCCCCTCCTTTTTCTACAAAATGTCTACCTTTACATTTCCAACCCTCACAGTCACTCCTGATAACAATTATTCACTGTTGTACCACATGAGTGCCATCCCTATCTCCTTTCATCAGCCCCGCCCAGAAAGATTGGATACTACTCAGTGGAGATTCTACCTTACTCCGTGGCCTCTGGATCTAGGCTCCCTCTTGAGAGCTTGTAAGCCAGTCACTTCTTGCCTTTGTAGGCCCCCGTT